TGACATGCCCTGCCTGACCCTCGCTCTGCTGCCCCCCACTCTGCACCACTTCTTCTTTCTTCTTTCTTTCTTTCTTTCCTTCTCTTATATGGACCACCTTTCCTGCTGTTCAATGTATCACCAGCACACATGCCACATCCCCCTCCTGTACCTACCATCCCTCACTGCCACACTCACCTCACGCCTACAGCGGACCCTCTCAGGATCTCCCATGGAAACACCTGGAGAGCCACAGCTGTATGTGAGGGTGATGTGGCGCACCCCACGTGATCGATCCTGCATGTATATAGTAACAGCTGGAGTGGGAACCAAAGAAGTAGCCTTCTTCTCACATTCCCACTTCAGACCAAGTGGTTGGGGACACTCACCCCATGATGGGACCGCCACTATGCATAGCCGCTTCTTGTCCCATTGAGTCCCCCATGCTGGGACTTCACCGCTTTCGGAGCTGTCCCTGACAAGCGGCCACCTCTGGGATCTCCCACAGAGACACCCAGAGTGGTGTGGCTGCATGTGAGGATGATGTGGCCCCATCCACGTGACCTTAACTGCATGTATATAATAGCACCTGGGGTGGGAACAGAAGAAGCAGCCTTCTTCTCAATTTCCCACTTCAGGTAAGTACTGTAGTCTTCCCACTTTTAATGATAACTCAATTTCCCACTTCAGACTACGTGGTTGGGGACACTCACCCTGTGATGGGACCACCTGTTACTGTCAGGGCAACCACACCTGACCATACAACCCCAGAACCACCTTCCCTAACCTCCCCCCACTTCCCTCATCCTCCCATCTTTCACAACTACAGCCCGCATGCGAACCCGTGGGAAAAATCACGTGGGTCAAGGCGAGCAACTCGCCTTAACCCATGTGACACCTTTTCCGCATCGCGGGAACATGCTCGGCTTCTACCCATAGTCACGCTACGAACTGTACAGTACATTTCCTTTTATAGCAGCCAAGCGGGGAATAGGGAAACTTACCCTTCTTCTCAACTCAATCCCCGCTTAGGCAAGTTGTAGCTACCTTCCATAATACATGACAACTCAATCCCCGCTTAGTGAGTTTGAGGAGCTTGGGATAGGATCTGGCACCTGGCTGCCTGGGACACCGCAAGTGTCCAGCTTTGAGGTAGGGCCGCCCCCGGACGGAGGCTGGGCCCTGACAGTTACAGGAATGGGTTCCGGGGAACCCAACCTGAGCCATTTGGCTCACTAATGGAGGTGGCTGCATAGCCATCGGAGGGAGAGCGGAATAAGATGAGTGTACGGAAGTACAACCTGTGTGATGGTGTAGGCGGGCACAGCCGGTACCACGCAAACAAGCCGATTATCGCGATTCTACCACCCATGTCAAGTACCCCACTCCCGAAACACATCTACCATTGTTCCATATATCCCTTCCACGTTTTTCATATTTCTTCCGATTTTTTCAAGCCATTCCCAACCACGGACAACCATCAGTTTCCAAATTGGGTAACTGTCACCCACATATTCCGCCGCTTCCTCCATATCTCCATCAATTCTCCACCGATCCGGACGAATTTGGTATCGTTGGAAAGCCCTTGTTAACACGAGTCGAACGATGTTACGAGTGACGCATTTGGTTCAGCGGTTGTTCCGATCGCCATGGTTCTTTATTTCCTTAACAACATCAATATTTCTTTGATATTGCTTTTTTCTTAAGTGTTCCTTGTGGATCTGTTGCCATCCTAAACCCGTCGGATTATTCGGATTTCCACGCATATTTCTTTCATATTTATAGTTACCCTCTTTCCTGTATTTTACAAAAAAGGACTCCCCCAACAGAGAGAGGTGCTCCCAAACGAACATGAAGTTCTAGCAGACGTTACCAGCGCCCAGAGCGGCGAATACGAAGCCAAAGAGGCTCAAGACATAGTGCAGGGGCAGAGTTCCCCATTAGTTTGATTATCAGTGAGATTTACAAATTTATCTTTTTATCACATAGCACCAGACCATTTCTCCCCCCCCCTTCCTCTTCATCCGAACCTCCCCTGAGCATTCCCAACTCTGTGGCCCCCTCTCTTTCTCGTTAGGGTGGTGGATCCCTTTCCCCCTTACAACGGCCAACGGTAACTTGGCGCTCCTGGGAGCGTACCAGTAGCGAGTATGATGTGGGTGTCAGGGCACACACCCTGACTAGCCCGGACCCGCATGTGTGCTCTGCCCCGCATGCTCTGCATGCTGCATGCTCCGGGCCCAGTTCCCACTCTTCATGTGACTTCCGGGTATCCCCGGAAGTTTTCGCCATATTGGGCCACTGTGGGAAAGTGAGAAGTTAACCTTCTTCTCACTTTCTTACCCACAGTAGGTTGTGCCTTAGGATAGGCTGTTCACACACAGGGCTGTGGGCTATAGAGAGAGGGGTCATGGGGACCCAGGGTCCGTCCCCTGACAGTGGGCTCCTTGAGGGAGCCACCTGGCTGTCTGCTAACGGGGACTTGGCACTCCTGGGAGTGTGCCAGTAGCGGGTGTGCTGGGAGTGTTTGGCTAGCAGTGACTTGGCGCTCAATGGAGCGTACCGGTAGTAAGGGATACTGGGACTCCCAAAGGGAGTCACCCAGTTGGTGGCTATCGGTGACTTGGCACTCATGGGAGCGTACCAGTAGCGCGAGTTGTTGGGGAAAGTGGGCTGGTGGACCAGTGCACGGTAGTGGGTGACCGTGGGAAGCGGGACCTGCGGGTGCGTGGCCAGGCATCCTGGAGCTGCCTGGACCATATCCTTCTCCTGAGGAGGTGGGATAGGCTACAGTTCCTGATAGGGAACTTCTGGTTGGATGGGAGTAACCACTTGACCACCCGGTGGACTGGTGGGAGTGGGCAGTAGGAGGTTGGGCATGGGAATGCCCTCCTCATTGTGGTTTTGTCATGGAGAGGAGGAATAGGGAGGTGGACATGGTTCCAGGGTTACAGGTTGAGTTTACAGTGGTGACACAATGGTGAGGATGTTACAATCGCAGTACAAGGTTTGTGGGTTATGTATTTTATAATGAGAAAACATCTTGGCAATTACCATACATGTCATATGACTTGTATCTATCTAATACAAATGTTATAATGGCCAAAGGAAGTCCTTTGGAAATCAACAAATCCCCCAGCCAGCACCAAAACCCAGTGGGAAAGCTTGGCATGGGGTTTGGCAGAGAATGAAGTGAGAAGAAGTAAGAAATATCTTACCTGTGTGCCTGGTCTATAGGAGTCTAGGCCCATTTCCATAGCAAAGGGCCTCAAGGTCTGGTTGCCTGTCACGGACCATAAGATTCTCCATTTCCATAACACCACCACTATGCATAGCCAATACCTGTCCCATCAAGTCCCTCACGCCAGGACTATGCCACTTTCGGAGCTGTCCCTGACAATACTTTGCATTTCTCCCTCACCCTTATTTGGACTACTGCTTCTTTCTATTTAGCCAGTTAGTCATCCACCCCACTTCCTCTCATCCTCCTGCCCCTCTGGGCCCTCACCCTCCCTACCTCCTTTCAGATGCACCATAGAGTCTAACTGGTGTAGTTCCCAACCCATACTTCCCTTTGTCTCCGTTCAGACACCTTTGTTCCATTTTGGACCCCCCTTTGTTTCTTGTACTCCTCATTTCCCCTTTATATATAGATGATGTACATATGTCAGGGCATGCCGCTCTCCCCTGCTCTGCTCCCTCCCTTTGCCTCTCTTTCCTTTTCCTTTCCTCCTTTCTTTCTTTCTTTATACAGATGACCTCTTCTCTTACTTGTGTACCATGGATGCATCCAATGCCGAGTACTCTGCATGGGTACCACACTGCTGGATACACTGTAGGAGGGACAAGCCAGTAGTACCCAAACAGCACCATATAACGGTCTACAGACGTTACCTGGGACCCAGCACACAATCCCCCAGCCCCCCAAATCCCATTGTACTTCTCCCATCATCCCCGTATTTTTTGATATATTTCCAGACCAGGTTATGGCCACTTAGTTTCCATATTGGGCTGCTTTCATGGTGTTTTCACCATATATCCCCCAGTTCTTCTCCGATCCAGACGCATTAGGTATCGTTGGAAAGCTATCGTCAAGACGAGTCGAACAAGTCCAACATCGGGAGATTTGGTGCAGCCGTTGTGGAGATCGTCGAATTCTATCGATTGTGTGGCCGCACCCATATATTTTTTATGTTTTCTGTTGTTTTCTTTGTTCTATGGTGTTCTGTCCGTTCTATCCGTCCCTAACACCGTCGGATTGCTCAGACATTAGCTTTGGTTATATACAAACATGTATTTAGTATGATAAGGGATCTTCTCCTTCCTGCTTTGACAGTACCATGTCTGGGAGTGTGTGAACGAGTTCAGTTAGGTCTAGGGCGACGTTGAGAAGGCAGGACACCTTGCTCGGCCCTAGGGAAGGTCCACCAGGAAGTTTAGTTGGTTTTTCACAGAAGTTTGAGTTTTCAGACCTAGTAGGAAGGTCCGCCAGTGAGTCTGTCAACACTGCGGTTTCGCTCCTCCCCCTTTCGTTACCTGTGTGTGTGTGTGTGGGTGGTCTGCTCAGGTTCAGAGGTCTTGTGCCCCTGCAGCCTTTCAGCCATTCTCCCCGCTTGCAACGCTGTGCATCCCCACTTGTACTTCTTTCCTCTAACACTCAGGATTGCCTGTGGAGCCACCTGTGATAGCCTGGCTCTGTCTGGGGTGACATGGCACCCCCACGTGACCCATCCCCACCTGTATATAAACCAAGCTGAAGCAGAACCGAAGAAGTAGCCTTCTTCTCATTACTGCTTCAGGCAAGTACCTTAGTCTAGTTTAGTTTAGTTTAGCCTTTCATTCTAATAATGATCATTACTGCTTCAGCCTAAGAAGCCAGATAGGGACACGAGCCCAAGTGAGGGCCGCCTGCCATACATCCCTGTTACTCCACTGCCGCCTGGGCCGCTACCCCTGCCTCTCCTGCACCATCCCTGACAGCAGAAGAAGGCTTCAACCTAGTCTCCCCCACCTCCTCCAGCATGGTGACTGAGGAGCAGTACCAGGACCTGCTGACCAGGTTCCAGGAACTGCAAGCCATCCTCGAGAGCAGAATCCAAAACCCACCACCTGCACCCGCACCTGTGCCTGCACCCACACCTGCACCCAAACCCAAAGCACCCAAGGTCACTGTAGGCAGGAATCTCTGCTACCATACAAAAAAGACCAGAAATCGCGATCCTGACACCCTGAAAAACACCCAGTACCCGATGCACTTCATACACGGTCCCAGATACCCTTTCTACCATTTCCCCATTTTTCCCAATTTTTCTGATGCATTTCCAGCCCTACAGTCAAGATTCCCATGCCTGTCAATCTAGTGGCCACCCAATTCCAGTCTATCTCAAGAACCACTGGATGGATTTGGATGAAATTAGTACCGTTGGAAAGCTACGAGAGAGGAGAGTTCATTCGGGCGGCGGGAAAAGGTTGTTGGATGCTCGATTAGGAGGGATGTTATTTCCATCATTCATTTTATTGTTTCTGATATTGTTTTCATTGCTTTTATTTGTATTTCCTTTCCATCACTTTCTTTGTTATTCTGTGTCGCCATAGAGGCGTATTTCTATTCTTCCCCTTTGCCCTGCAATTTCTCACTTATAGCGCACATTTTCATGTATGGTACAGAGGACTCCCCTGATGAGAAGGGACACCCCCACCAAGTAACAAGTTGTTTGATAAGTTTAGTGACGCCAGAGGGCGACGTACGAGTTTATACAGTATCTCTGACTCCTGACGACTGTCCAAGAAGGACCAGGAGTGAGTACTGATTTAGTGAGATTTTATTGGTTGATTTCTAGCACCCGGACCATGGTGCAGTATCAGCACTGTTGCCACCATCCTTCCTTTCCCTCCCTTCTGACCCGATTCAGACACTACCCCCAGGTCCCTACTCTCTTGCCTGGGCAGCTCTTGTGCCTGGTTACATCGCCCCACCCACCACCTTTGCTGGTGCAAGCAAGGACCTCAATTGCTTCAAAGTGGAATGTGGGATTTACTTCCATGTCCACATGGCAGAGTTCCCCGACACTCTGTCCCAGATCCTCTTTGTCTTGTCATACATGAAAGGAGGAGCTGTGGGAGCATGGGCAACACAGCGCATGATCACACTGCTGATGGTGGGATCCCCTGTGATCACTATGGACGAATTCATGGCAGAGCTTGATGCCATGTTCCAAGACCCCAACTGTGAAGCCACCACCTGACAAAAGCTCACTGCCTTGCAGCAGGGTAATTATGACTCCTGTCATGACCATGCATCCTGACCTGGATGCTGGCCCTTGTTCTTTCTCCTTTCACCTGACCCATTCAGTCTCTTTACTATATATATACCTGTATATACATTATCGTAACTTCAGTCTGAATATCGACATGGTTTGTCCCCCTAACAAGGCAGCCCCAAGCCATTTTGAAATGTGGGCACTGAGACAGTAGGTGGGCAAAGTGCTCTCTTGGAGTCGCTGAGGCTGAAGCCCAACCCCCTGGGGCCTTGTTCCTTGAGCCGCTGACCCCATACCTAACAACTCCATGGATAGAATCATCCAGGAGTTTGAGATCCATGGCCCCCCCTCATGGCTAGGCGATGTAGGACTGATAGACCACTTTGAGCAAGCAATCAATGCACAGCTCCATGAGAGCATCTATCGCCTGCATCCCATGCCAAGGACTTGGGCAGAATGGAAACGAGAGGCCACCCTCCTCAACAACCAGTGGCAGCACTTCCAGGCAATGCAACCCCAGCTCCCCCTGTTTAAACCACCCCTTCCCCCATGAGACCACCACCGTCAACCCCCCAGCCCTTTGCACGCCTGCCACCCGGACCCCCGCTGCAACCCATGACTGCCCCTGTGACCCCCACAGCCATGGCCCCATGCCCCCCAGCCCCACTCCCTCAGCCAATGGACCTCGACCATTCAAGGGCAGACCAGCGATGAGGGCTATGCCATAACTGCAATGCCCCCAGGCACTTTGCATGAGACTGCCCTGTTAGAATGGGCGGAAACGGACGACTCCGGAGTGGAATCGGAGACTTAGCGTGGAGGGACCTTGGCCTCAGCGACTCAAGCGGAGCGCTGTGCCATTGCTGTTTGTCCATTTGGTCCTTAATTTCACAGTAGGTGAGCAGGAAGTCTCTTGGGGGCATTTCAGGTCGATTTCGGACTAAAACCAAAACGAGTATGTACAAGCGCCGATATATATAATGGAAGGGGCAAAAGCACAAAGAGAACAAAGGGTGACCGAATCGGAACGAAGACGTCCGAACGGGAACAAAGGGTAGAGGGGGCGGAGCGGTACCGAAGGTCATAGGGCAAGACCTGTGATACGTCCGAAAGGAGGTAGAGAGGGCGAGGCCCAGAGGGGCAGGAGGATGAGGGGAAGTGGGGATGATGACTAACTGGCTAGAATAGAAAGAAGCAGTAGTCCAAATAGGGATGAAGGGAAAATGCGAGAAATACATTACAGGCGGCGAGAGTGCCGAAGGCGGTCCGCGAAGCTTGGGGGTTGCGGAGCTTACGGAGGTTATGGAGGCGGGGTTGGAAGTCCAAGGAATATTGGCAATGGTGTTTACGTAGTATGAGGTCACCAATGCAATGGACTAAGACCGAGGTGGAGTCAAAGTCCGAGGTAGGGACTATGACGGAGGCTCGGAGTAAGGTACGAACGGTGTCCGAGTGTGAAGTACGGAGCAGCGGTGGACGGTCGTAACTTGGCGGAAGGGTAACGGAAGGAGGAGAGAGGGGACAGGTAAGGAAGAGGGAGTGGCGGAAAGGAGAGTAGTCAGGTCCGAAGGTGAGTATCGGAACGGACGGGGGAAGCGTAGGGGGATGACGGGAGGGTGGAGGTGTTGTGAGGGGGGAGCGGAGTTGTAGGAAGGGTGGCGAGTGGGGCGATGTTCGGTCCGAGATGAGTATCGGAACGGACGGAGAAAGGGTCGGAGAGGTAAGAGGAGGGGTGTGTTGCCAAGACCGAAGGTGAGTATCGGAACGGCAGCGGTAGGTTATGACTCCGGAGGTGAAGAGGGTGGAGGTCCGGAAGTCAGGTCGGGGTCAGGTATGCATGGATATGACACCCCTCCCAAAAGTTCACCAAATACACCACATGCACCCAGAGGACCTTCGAGCACTCGCGGAGGGGCTGAGAAGCCAGCTGATGGGGACACCTGAGAGGGATGAAGAGGGAGAGGAAGCAGACCCCCCAGGGGATTTTCGAAAAGGCAACCGGTGAGGGATGTGTCCTGGCCACCTATGAGCAATAGTACCCAGTGTAAATACCAAGATATGTGTGAGTCCGCACTGTTGTCCAAATTCCACTGGGTAATTGCTAAGAAACAGAGGAAAACTGCATCTCAACCAGGAAAGGCACGAGAGCTGCTGGCCCACCACCTGAGGTGGCTGTCTCCCCACCCACCATCTATGTGCTCGTCAAACAGTCCCCCCGCTCCCTCAACATGAAAGTAAAGGTGACTGCATTACCATCCCTCGCTGCAGTCACCATTTCAGCGCTGTTAGACTCTGGCATGACTGGGAACTTCGTAAGCCCAGACTTCATCCAGAAGCACAGGCTCAAGACAACCCTGCTCCCCCAGCCCATCCCAGTGCACAATGTAGATGGAACGCCAAATGAGAATGGGGCCATCACTGAAGAGCTGTAAGCCCTGTTGATGTTTGGCCAACACACAGAATGGGCCTGCTGAAGGAGAGAATGAAGGAAGGTCAGTTGGGAGGTTCAAACAAGACCACCACCAAGCTGTTCCCTGGTTCTTTAGTTAGGGAAGTGTACTAGTAAAATTTGGTGTAATTATAGTACCAATCCGAGTGTTTTGGCTAATTCTATTTTATGGGTTAGTCTAAAAGTTTCTGAGAATTGACTTACAGATAAACAAAGCCCTGCGGAGCTGTTCCTCTATTGTAATTTCTCAATTTGTCTGGGTGTAATTCTGTGTAGGATCGTTTAATTTGGATTTTAACTTGAATCAAATCTTTTACTTGGTGAATTTTCAAAGATTCTACTCAGTTAATGGGTTTAGATCGTGTCTGAAGTGTTCCTTGACCTTGTCTTATTTTTAACTTATTTTTATTGCTTGTTTTAAGAGTAGCAAAATAACTGTTTTGTGTTTACACTTTGAAATCTGGAGTGTTAACCAGCTCTCCTGTTGAAATATTTACTTAATATTCCTCTCCCTATTTGCTGCCTTTTACTACAGTGGCAATCTTAACTGTATATCACTTTTTCGCACTGGAGTGATAACCAGAAATGCTTGAGAAAAATAATACTCTATTTTCTTACTTCTCTGAGGGGGGCGAAAAGTCACAGAAAGGGTCTCCCTTTTATACTCCTTGGGTTGCCTTCCTTTTTCACGCTCTACCTTGTATTTACAGGATTTATTTACAGTGTATTTTCCTCAAACTGAATAAAAATGAATTTTTCACACTATAGTTCTACTGTGCTCAGACTGCACCTAGAATCCTTATCGTCCTTCCTTGCCTAAGCTATTTTAATGGTTTAATTAGAACTTGACTGCGCTGCATTTGTCACAGTTTTCTATTTCAAATTCCTCTTATTTACCATTTAGTTTGCTATGACTTGGTCATTCTGAATTCAAACTTTGCTTTACTATGCATATGGCTGTGCTGAGACCTTCAGCTGATTTATTCTATTTTTATCCAGTGACATTTAGTTGAAATGAGACTTGAAATGATAAAATGAGTGAATTGTTCAGGTTTAGAATCGAAAGAAAAAGTTGCTAGTAGTTAAGAATTGATCAAACGAATGTGTTATAGCTCTCTGCTTCATTAGTATATCGTTCCCTAAAATTCCTGCCATGGTCCATCATAGTTTAGTGGATTTCGTGAATTTCATCCATTTCCCCTTATTCCCGCTTGTATTATTGCATCCCAGTCCTTCTTATGTATTGTTTGTTGTTATAATAGGTCGTCCTCAAAGATATCATATTTTTATGTATTTTATTTGGGGCTCAGGACCTCTAGAAGTTGTCTTCCCATGCATATTCAGGTTACTAACTTCATGTCCTTGTATCTCATTCATTTCTGAAGGTTTTTCACGTTCTCAGCTTCATAAATCTTTATTTATTCCCACCTTTCCAATGGTACTAAAGTTGTACTCTAACTCTCGGTTTTGGTCAAGTTAGCAAAAGTTTGTGTGCACATTTGGTAATCACGTGTGTTGTTCCCATACTCGTTCATATGTGGGCACCATTTCTGTTTAATTGTTCGGAATTTATTGTATGCGTGGGTGTTTGTATCCTCAATATGGGCTTCCATGATTTATTTCAGATTTTTCCCTCATGTTCTAAGGTGTTTTTGTACTTTCCGTGCTCTGTTTTGACTGGGGTCTTCCTTATTTGGACAGAAATTGGTCTTCGTGATCTGCTGAAGTGTGGATCTTGGTTCCAACGGCCGGTTCCCTTCACATCGCCACCCTCATGTGTCTTTAAGCATGATGCGGATTTCTAATTCCCATTGTTGGTCTAACTTCACAACGGCTGGACCGTTTGGGCTGAAACTTTGCATAACGATAGTTTCCAATTTATAATATTTTCCATGTAAATTTCGTTATGTGTTTTAAATATGGATCTTGCGTGAACGTCGTCTCTTCCCTGAGCTGTGACTTTGATGTCACTCATCCCATTAATGAATATCTCATTGATGCGTGGTCCTTTTATTATGAAGATTTGGGTGAATTAAGAGTATATCCCTTCCTTTCTAATGGGCTCTCAAGCTCGTCTCGGTCGTTACTGGTTGTTCTTCATGCTTTCCTTTTGTACGTTGTCCTCATTTTCCGTGAATTTTGGTCATATCTCCGTCATTTATGGGTAGTTTTCTTTGAAATTACTTTCATTGGGTCCGTTTGAGAACCATCTACGTTCCCTATTATAAACACGACTTTGAATTTTGCATTGGTTCCTAAGGAATCCTTGTTCCATAGTACTTCCAACCTCAGCTATGTGTGCGGGTGTGGGAAAGTAGTTTCCGTGGAGGTTCTCTGGTTGGTTTTATAGTCAAATCTTGCTCGATTGTCCTAGTTCCTTGTTCAATATTCGCTATAAGTTCCCCCGAGCATTCCGTCTTGTTGGTGCTAAGCTTGAAGTATTTTTATTAATTTTCTTTCTTCCAATTTATCGTATGTAGTCGTAATAATTTGTTAAAATTTGTTAAAATTCAAGTTCTTCTATTTTCTGATATCT